ATTTTTTTATTATGTTTATATATATTCTGATAAATATTTAGTAAGCGAAATTTAAAATTTAGTTAAATAATTTTTATTTTGTTGATAAAATATCTTCAATTTGGTTTTAAAAAAATTCTGATCCGTCAGTTGTTTTCGGATTGTGCATTCGCCCCACATGTAATTTGAGTTTAAGATCACTGTCCTAGGTCATGAAATTCTTAGTGTAGATGTTAGGATACGACAATGCATTATTATTTAAAGAAAATAATATTAAATATTCGAAGTTATACAGAAATAATAACCTAATAGTATAATATTAAATGAGAATGTACAAAAAGATATAATTCTCTGATTTAAATAATAACAACGATTTACTGAAACAAAATATGATAAAAATATATTGAAAATTGGGAACTTCGATTCGAAAAACAATCAAATTACAAAAAATTAATTTTTGTTGCTACTATTATTTTTGTTACTATTAAATTTATTTTGGTTGCTAATAGTTTTATCTTTATTGCTATTGTAATTATTAATTATTCCCTTAATTTAAGGGTTGCCAAGATTGCCTCAAGCATTAAGGCATATCATTCATTCTCTGTTTTCTTCTTCAGCGCATTCATAGGTCACTAGTCAGAAATAACATCATTCTCTCAGAATGAAGGATGATTATTTATAGTTTAGCATGAGAATTTTCACATGAAATACGGGTTTTTTACTCCAGACAAGCTGACCTACAATTCCTTTTTTTCTTTTCAGTTTTCTTCCGTAGTTTGCCAAAATTTCTGCTTTCCGAAATACGGTATTCCAAATAATTTAAAACACATATTTATTTGTAATTTAAAATGGCCCTTAAATTTAACGTAATTTAACGTAAATGTGAGATAATTTTAGAATTTTTGTGAATGTAATCAAATTAGGAAACTGTGCAACAGAGTTTTTGCAGCATAAAAAGTGTCTTTGGCTTTGATTTTAATGAAACTTTCCTCCGCTACCAGAATACAGAGCATTGCTGTGACATTTCTTTAGCTGAAGTAAAGAATCAATTATAATTAATTTTATGGGAAACTTTTTTTTTTTTTTTTTTGTTCTTAACAACGCAAAATAATGGACTTAATTACATCGAAAGAAAATGAAACCTAAAAATTACCATTTACATATAGTAAAAACAGTAACGATATAGTGAACATATCACTGGTATAAAGCAGAAAGAAATATATTTGTATGTAGTTTTATTTAAGTAGAACCAGAAAGATACCAAGTACATTGGAAGTCTGATAGTTCTTGATGCTGGTTTGTTACGCTAATTAATTTGAGATTATTAGGATCTTAATGACTGGACAGGTCATTCTCATGCACAGAACAGAAACCTGTTCACATTATTCTTATCTGAATTCATCAGGCAAGCTAAATTACTTTGTCAACATATTTGCTGTGTTTTACTTTCATGCTGTAGATCACTTGGTATTACTCGTGTTTGGAGGCTAATGTTTACGTTTGAACACTTAACTTCATGTTATTCTTATGTATAGCTATTTTTAGGTACTCAAAAGTTCTTATAAGTTATATATCTAATAAAATATAATAAGAACCTGCTTTGTTGGTAATACATAGTACTGAATAAACCGGCTACGATAATAGTTGAAAAATAGTAATACCAAGTTCTGTCAGAAGCTCTAGAAGAGAAAGATGTCAGACTTTTTGTCGACAATTACTTCAAAACTTTCAAGGGTGATAAAGCATTTGAATAAAACAACGGATGCAAAGGATTATATTTCCCAATTATTCGCAACCGCCAGAACAGGGCGGATAAAGTGGTGCAATATTTGCAGGCATGGGATTGAAACGTAATGCATCTGTGAAGTATGCTATCATCACAGATCATTTAATCCGACATAAAGACACATGTCATTCGATGATATTATAATGTGGTGAGAAAAAACAAGGCCTTAAACAAACTTTTAATACGTAGACTACCACGTAGATAATGACGTCACTAATTTACAGACAAGAAAATTACATATATCGAGGAGAAGAAAATACATATATTGCTGGATTTAAAACTGGGGTAGCTACTTCTTTGGTCCATTTCCTTAAATACTGAGAGTTTATTTCGAGTCGCATTCTGTGCACCTTCTAGAATTTCGCGGATATATATATTGATGAATTCGTGTCACTTGTATTACATGAATTAAATAGATATTATGAGTATTTGTAGCTCTTCTTCAGGTGTTGCCTTGTATTTTTTTGCTGAGGTCTTGTTCTTGCAGCTACAAAACTATCAACTCCCGCACAAAGCATTTGCCGGAAACGTTGGAACCGTGTAGTCTATTGGGTACATCTGCGTTACCTCCATCACTAATATATGCACCACGATTAACCAAATAAGGATTACGTATTGCTAATTGTAAAACATATTTACTAATCTCCAAAATTATTTGGACTCCAGCGGCCGAGCGGTGAAATCGTTGAACGCTGGTAGTTCCTATCTGGGTTCGATTCCCTGCGAACGGGCTGGTTGCATGGGCGTTTTCGTTGTTTTCCCCGTGTGTAATATTTATACGAGCAGTTTCCTTTAGAAAGTCCTGCACGTAGGCATCTTTCTCCTTAGGCATATAACTCTAGCTTGCTTTGCCATAATCAACTAATCATCCAAGCCAGACCAAAACTGTTTGGGAATAACTCAGCGTATACATGCGCTGCATCACATTGGTCAATGAATAATCAGTGGAGTACGATACATATGCCAGACTGATCAAACATTAATCTGTGGACACGATTCATAATGCGCTTTATCACGCAATGACCTTGTAACTCATTCATACATTATGTTTTTCAGCTAATGGCTACAAATATTGCGACCACAATCGCCACTGTACACTCCCTCTTCTAGAAGATTTGGGCAATTTCTAAATGTACCAGATCTTTTGTTCGTATGCTTGATTAACTCTAAACGTTTCGTGGCAATCGTCGGCAAGAAATCGGATGACTTTTCTTTTAAGTATATAAAACTCGTATCATAAGGAACTCGAAAAATAATACCTGCGGTACATAATATGAGAAACAACACTGAAGAACAATGGATACGCAAAAGAAAATGGTAATACCACGAAACAAAAAAAAAATAGAAAGAAAATTGCTCACAGTAAGGAAAGTGATCTTACTGGGCTGCAGTGCATGATGTGTACTAAAATGTGTCTATACTGTAACAAGATTGTCGATGATTTCTATCCCTACTCCTTCCATTCCTCTACCATTACACTCTTAAACTGCTTACAAATTTGAAAACACTTCAAAACATCCTCCCAAAGCTGTTCAGTTGTGTGTATTTTTGTTGGAAGGACGTAAAGCCGTTTCCATAAAGAGAAACTATGATATTGTCCATGAAGAGAAACTGACAGGCAGTGGCATTTCTGAAGAGATACATACAGATGAGTATTCTGTTGCAGTAACTTTGCTTTAAATCATTACGATACTCTCACTGTTAAACATGTACACCAAAGTGAAGTCATTGCAGTACAAATTACTGGTGCTATACTTTCTTTTCAGCATCTGAAACACGGTATATGTGTACAGCAAAATGTGTCTCTAGACAAGAACTTCTCTCATTAAAGCGATCACGTTTCATAATCTTTGTAGGATTAAGACGTGTTTTCATCGCATGCCAGATTAGTTCTCATCTACACTCACTGGTGAGACTAACCTGCTGTCATATGTAAAATGTACTCTGCCTTGTTACTCCTTTCTCTAGTCTTGATGTTCACGATACCGCTACAAATCTTATCTCCATTTGGCAGGTGTTATGGCCATATATCATATTGGTTTTAGGCAAATGTACCACTCTTATGTAGTTGCTGTGCCACTGCTCATCTTCCTCATATTCGCCCGCTATAATAATGGCCGCATTTAGTAGGTATGACCATATAGCAGCATGATTACACGTGAGAGATCATGACTAGTATATCGAACAGCATTTCATGTAGTTCTGAAGGTCATCCAAGCTATAATCATTAAACGATTCTGTGGGTAATCTCAGACCTTTCGAATATCCTCTTCACATTTCTCTGCCTCAAGTTTGCCATTTATTCTGTCCCGATTGAAGTCATCCAAATGTTGTGACCATATAGAGTACGATACATATGCCATGGCCTACTGTTTCCAGTAGCAAAATTGCCTGAGCGTCTATTCAAGCGATCCCTGATATTTGAAATCTGCAGTTGTATTTAACCCTATCCATAGTCTTGACAAGCTTTTCATCTGATTATTGCCAATAGTCTGTATGTCATGCTACTTTCGTTTTGTCATGTTACAGTTTTGAACACTCATATATATTCAAGTACGTAAAATTCAACTGTTAATTTTTACTTAAAATTAGCGGGTGGCAAGAAATTCGACATCTTTCAAATCTGGCTGTCAGATTAATCTAAACTATACTGCTTTGAATCGGTTCTGGCGCTAGTTTCTACTTGAGTAATTCTTTACGTATCTGTTAAGCAAGGAAGCTTTCCCTGTATGAATTAGTTTACATAACTGAATTATTTTGCATAAATGAGCTCTTGTGTATTTTGAAATCAGAAGGAAACAGAACAGAAGCAAGTTTAAGGATATCCTAGTTAGTTCTTTAAAATATGCATTACAAAGTAAGTATTGCCTTATATGAATATTTAATATAATTTTAAAATCTTCTAAGCTTATAAGTTTTCTAAAGTTTTTAGTATATTAGATAAAAATATACACGACTAATATGAATAATGAAATAATAGATTTATCGTAATAATATTAAATTAACAGTAGCTAATAAATATAAATTAACGAGCTAAATGTATAGGAACCTGTAATTCCTTTTATGCATGCATAAGTAATTCATTTCCCCCTGAAAAACAATGAACTTTCATTTGAATATTAGAAAAGCTGTAGTTTTGTTGGATAGTTTTTGACACACAACATTGCTATGCGCACTAATGCAGTACTGAATGTATTCATTGTGCTCTCTGAATGTACTTCAATGTTGTTTTCAGGACAGGGCAGTTGATGATATGGACATATATAGTTCTTACTCCTATCCTCTCATTGATGGCCATTTCACTGTAAGTAAGCAGCTCTCAGAAATTATTTCGCAATTTATTTCATTATTTGCTCATTATTGCTGCTTGCCATCAACTGGAGATAGCTTTTTTTCTTTGATTTTTTTGTTCATTCAGAGCATAGCGTTATTTAAATTAGGGAATTGCAATAAATCTAAAGTCCCCTAATATCGTTACATCAACATGAAAAGTTAAATTCACGAAACTTCGCTTGAATTACTTCTGCAAAATTACTAATTTTAGTTCACCGTAACGTTCTGACGATGTTATCTTCCCTATAAAATACATTCTTGGAATCGCTTTTCGTTTACATACTCCGAAATATAAGTTTGCCTTATCCTTTAAATTTGCAATATATTAAAAACATTACAAATTACTAAATTACTAAATTTTACCTCAAAATAAGGTATTTAAAACGTTTTCAGCATATAAAAAAAAATCATACATATGAAGCCGTCTTGGATGTGAGCTTCTATATCTTTTGGTTAAATGTCTTCAAAAATGCTTAGGAAATAACTTTGGAAGAAATTAATTTTTATGCTAAATTTCAAATTAAATTTTATGTATATGAAAATGAAAATTATATTTCTTTAATTTTAAAGCTTATTGCTGCATTGTCTTTAAAAAATAAAAATATTTTACACTATTTTCATCAGAAGCTAAAAGAACGTCAAAAACTGAAATTTGTAATATTAGAAAAGTTAAATTCACTGGGGAAGTATTAAAACTGGTATAAAGTTTTTATCACAATCAATAAACTTATAGCGCCATTTTTATCGGAAACTAAAACCCTATAATGCCATTTTCATAGAAATATATATATAAAAAATCATCAACTGAATACCATTTGAACTAATTAATGAGCAAAAAAATCATGTAAACTTGACGTAATTTGCGAAACTTTATGACAGCCGTTGATCAATGAAATGATGATGATTTATAACATTTCTGTTTTAAATATGATTTAATTCTTAATATATAAAACTGATTTTTAACTTCTTTATCAGAAACTTATTTTTTAAAATATTACTCTTAAAAAAGAAGTGCGTATAAAAATACAATACATATGACTAAATACCACTGAATAATAAACAATGATGAATTTTCTTTAAAAGTTGGGAAATGTATTCATGTTATTTTAAAAGACTATTTATACGAGAATTCCTTATTCGACGCTATGCTCTGCATTTCATTTACTTCTTATTTTTTAAAGCTTTTTTGACTAAGAGAGCAAGCTTCTTCTCAGTTTTGTTTCTTGCATTAGACCAGTGTGTAGATGATTCTAGAACTTAGCTTTTTATGTATTTTTGCCTCAAATGGTTTTAATGTTGTTTCATATGTGCGTTCTTCACATTGCATTAGTGGGTTCATAGCAATGTTTAGTCGCTGCAGAAGCCACTGCATATTTGAGCATAAATTTCATTTAAACGCCATTAGTTTTAGAAGCAATGTAGTAAATATTTAAATATTTATTATGTGCTTATGAACCTGTATTTTTAATATGTAACTTAAAAGCTTTCCTTTAAAGTTCTAAAAAAGATATGAATTTTTTTTTAAAAAAAAAGGTATTCTTCAGTATTATTCTATCGCTGAATCCTGTCAATTGGAGCCACCATTAGAACTTTTGTTTTTTAATATATATATATATATATATGATGTACCAGCTTTAGTCGTAGCTTAAATAATCAGACGATAAGTTTAAAAAACAGGATCTATTTATTATTATTCAGGAGAAATAGCTGTTACAAAAATCAGATATCCGGAGTAAATTAAAAGAATTACTTATAACTTTTTGTATGAAGTTTACTGCATCGTGAAATTTAAGAAAAAGCCTCGATATTCCTTTTGCGAGTTTTTTTATAGCCTCTGGAAAGGCGGAGCTTCCAAGAAATGACGTCAGCCTCGTCAGCCAATCCAGTTCGCTTGAAATATTTCCAGAACATTCTAAAACTGTACGTGTAGAAAAGGCGGAAAAAACAACTTGACTACGGGGCTGTGGATTTAATTCCACGTACTTTCAAATAAGAGAACGTCGCCATTAAATATGAAAAGAACATACAGTTAGAAATTTACGTGTATTCTTGACTATGGAATTTTATATTATATATATATATATATTTATTTAGTACATATATATATATATTTATTTAGTACATATATATGTATATATATATGTACTAAATAAATAAAAAAGAACTAATTTAAAGAATTTTAAATCATCTATTTAATTTGGAGTATTCAAAATTATATAAAATAAATGCAGTAAAAATCGCGAAAAATGCTATACGAGATTTATTTTTCATAGTGAACTCCTTCAAAAGTTGGCTTAATTTACAGGCATGGCATCCTCCCAATTTTCATATACCTAGGTTTTCCAACACGTAAACAAAGAACTTTTTTTTATAAATATGTGTTATTGAAATTTATTAAAGCGTGAGATTGTTTCCAGGTAATCTATGTACAATATGTTTTTTAATTTACCTCAAAATTTACTCACAGATAGGTAATGAATTCCTGTATTTAATAGATCTAGTATTAAGTAAAAAAGTAAACTCAGTCGCGTAACAGCCCTAATGGGCCAAGGCCACGAAGGCCTAATGGGCCACGATTTCTCTGAATATAAGTTTGATCGAAACATCATTTAAAAATATCTGCTTCCAGAATAGAATTGTTTATTACAATGTGCAGAAACTTCATATCCTGTCAGTCATAATTTTCAGTATTGTGTTACATATTTTATATTATCTTCTATTAATTTAACCTTTAATATTTTAATATGAACCATTTTGTAAATAAAATTACCATGATTCATTATGAAAAATTGCTGAGAATAAAAAAGAATAATAACTTTCCTATTAATCTTAACTCTGTATCATCTATACAGTAATCCCTTGCACAGCACGATTTATCATACACGTGTTATCTTAATTGTTTCTATTTAATTTGTTCAGCACTAGAATTTTATTAACATACGGTTCAACTCTTCGGTTGTACATCATTTCTGAATGCTTGCTGGCATCAGCTCTGGCCAAACAGTCAGCAATAAATTTAAAGGATTTCCATCGACTGAAAATGAAGCCACAGAAATCATATAAACTGCAAAGCCAATTGACAAAAGATTTTCAGATATGGAAGGAAGAGAAAAGTCAAACGAGAAATGACGAATAAAGAACTGGATGATGTTATAACGCCAGTCGACTGTAAACGCAGGGATCATGAAGAAGATAATGTGCCTTGTAAAACGTTAAACTAGTTGTTAAAAAAATCATATGAACTGTCTATTTTGCAATGAAGATTCACCCAAATGAAGAAAAAACAGGATGTTTCGAGAGGCCGTGAAAATGCTCCGCTCCTTACCACGAAACGTTTACAGAATTGTGACAGTCATTGGTCTCAACCAAAAATCACCAACTTTTTAAAAATGTAATTGTATCATGTACCTACTTATTAAGCACTAGTAAAAATCTTTAAATTAACATTTATTTCTGTTTTTTCTTTAAATTAGATCAATATTTAGATTTTTTTAAATTGTTACATTGTAAGGTATTTCTCGAACCTTCTTGGCGAGCCTTCGTGGTGTAGTGGTCTACACTCTCAGCGCGTAATTGAGAGGTCTGCGTTTCGATTCCCGGCGAAGACGTTGCATAATTTTCATCTTGCCTGCTTCCAAAAATACGTAATGTCCCTATAGTGGCACCCGGACTAAAAAGGTTGTTGGATGATGATTTTCCTCACCTAGGATTTGGCGATTGGGCTCTCCTAAAAAACCCCAGTCGCCCATTAAAAGGAGGAATATATAAGGTATTTCTCCCACCTTCTTGTCGAGCCTTCGTGCTGTAGTGGTCTGCACGCTCAGCGCGTAAATGAGAGGTCGGCAGTTCAATTCTAGGTGAAGGCTTTGCATAATTCTCATCTTGCCTGCTTCCAAAAAATACCTAATGTCCCTACAACATATTTTATTAATCTGCATTATAAACACATTTTTTTGAGACTGCGATTTTGCTTTATATACAAGGTAATATTGACGTAGCTCTTTCTGCAAGAATTTACTATACATTTATAATATTAATTATTCTATAAGTAAGATTACCTTGATTTCCTGCGAAATGTCATTTAAAGTTAAGAAAGTCAGCAAAATGATTTTTCTGCAATTCAGAAAAAATCCTAATGAAATCCAAAAGTTGTGCGAGTTATAAAGATAATATTTAGACTCGGAAATCCTTTAACTCAAACGCTATGAAATTTGAGGATGATTATTTAGTTCATTTCACAGATTAGACTTGTAAAAAAAGTTTTTATGGATCTTTATGTAAAATATATGCGTATAAGAAATAATATAAAACTCTGAAGGAAATCAAACATTTCAAGCTATTCTGGCCCCTTTTTTCCTAATGACTAATTCTGGACCCTTTTCCCTAATCCTTTCTCCTTTTTCCTTGTAACATTTATAAAAAGAAATGTTTTTGCTGATTCCTAGAATTACTTTTTGAGAAACCTGAAGTTTCTAGAAACAATGCTCTAGAAACTTTGTTTTAGAAGAAGAAACTGTTTATTAAAATGTGTAGAAATGATCATTACACCTAAGATAACTTTAAAAATTCCAAAATGTCTCGAATTGTTTGTAATTTTTAAATATAATCTGTCCTGCAAATTACATTTTTTATATTAATTTTAAAACATTTCTCATTTCTAATTCCTATTTTTTACCTCTTGGAATTTTTTTTTTCTTTCTTCCTCTTCTTTCTTGACTTTTCTTTAACGTTTAAAAATTTATTTAAATATTTACGACATTAATAAAAGTTCTTATTCTACTTATGTGTAATGCTTATCACAAAACTTACAGCACCATCAAAACTTATAGCACAAAAACAAACAAGCATATGTGTAACAAAAAGCAAGCAATGTGGCATATAAACTTATGATAAGTAAAGTATGGTCAATTTCAGATTTCTGGATGATTTCTTGGAGGAAGTTAGAAAGGTTTTCTTGAACATATTTAAATT